AATTTAAGTTTATTATTTTCAGTGAACATATGATTTTCTAATTGCAAAAAAGACTTCTATAACTAACTTCTGAATTATTTCACTTTTTACTGAATTATTTTGGCAGTCTATAAAATAGAAGGTGAGAAATCAGAATATGTTGTTGTTATTGCCGCAAAATTGATTTTGGTGACGCAAAGTCGAGTTAAAAGTCAGATGACGGTCAGTTTGTATATGAAACATATTAATATGCCGATCATTTCTTAAAATTGAATACCCGTTATCGCTATGTTATTAGCAGTTTGTTCTGCTAGTTTATGCATTTTTCCACCATAGTTTTCATCCTTTTTAATATGATTACATTCAAAATCTGCATTTATTACACAAGGAACATACATCATTCTAGAATAATTCTTAAATTTCTCAAAATCTTTTCCACCTTTTTTTGGCATTGTAACTACTTGTGGGGCTGCTCCTAATCCTGGACAAGTGTCCATATGATTATCTCATCCTGTTTCTGTTGTAAAGCTCCAAAAACAATTATTACAAATAAACTTTTTTGTAGTATGCTTGGAGTCTTTGAATGCTAATTTATTGGGGTTTTCTATCCATAAGAAATGGGTTTTTGAACCATACTTACCTTCCCTATCTACATTTGATATTAAATTTTCTTTATTATTATTATTGATTTTTTTAACTTCAGAAAGCACCATAATTTGAATTTTGTGTGGTCTTTTTTCATGACATTCAAATGGTCTAGGATGCTTATATCCCTCAATCTTGCAGGAATTTGGAAGATATAAATTTTTGCTTGCCATTACTGGTTTGGGCTTGCAATTTTCTTCCTTCCATTTCCATACAACATTTATTGAAATTGTTGGATTTTGTTTTTTGATTTTTTCAAATGTTCTAGAACATATGGGTGTTGGCATTTGTATACCTTCCAAATTAACAATATCCAAATATTTCTTAAGTTTTTGTGCAGTAAATATGCAACAAAGATCTTTATTATGCCCATCTTGAAATGCAAAATATGCTCCTAAAGCCCCTTGAAGACAATTATCTGATTGCTTACCAGTAATTGGGTCATATATATTTGAATTATCAGGATTTACTGTACATTTTTTTGCTTCAAGTTTTTTTGGCATTGGTATGTATGAACCTCCTACAGTTCATCAATATGGATATACTTCAATAAATAACATTTCAATCCATTTGAGACACCAACCAGAACCTTTATTCATAAATTTAGGGTTGTGTTGGTCTGGTCTTTATCCCAAAAGACTGGTCTTTTTTTGAAAGACTGAAGGACCGATCTTTAGATGCGGTCTTTGGGACTGGTTAAAGATTGTTTAAAGGATTTTGATGTGAATCACATATTGCAAAGTAGCTTTTTGGTCGATCTTGATTATCTTACATTTTATGACCAGGTTCAAATTAACTTTTTTTTACACTCATCAATTATTTTATTTTACAAATTTATCCTGCTTACTACCTAGAAATCTTTGGCAACAAATATCAATGAATTTCACGAAAAAACTCTCAAACTGTACTCTTTTGAATATTATTTGTATGTGGTGATGATGTTGTTGTGGATGATGATGATGATGATGATGATGATGTTAAATGTGATAAAAGATTTTGTGGTTATCCATGACTAAATTTTTTTTGTGCAATACTTGCATTGTGCAGAGTAATGTCCTTTAGATTTTTCTTCTTGTTTTTTAGTAAAATGAATCCACACATTTGAGGAGGTCCACCAGTTAATTTATTTTGTGGATCTGACATTGTCTTAAACAATATTATCTCATGAACCTACTATTGGATATAAAAAGAAGGTGGAAGTTGCTTGTAATTTGAATAGTTTATGGTCGTTTTACTAATTTCAATTCAAATAATTTTTACTTGAATATTATAAATAAGGGGCAAACTTTTATATATAAAAATATAAAATAAAAAAAATTTTCAATTTCAATTTTTACTTTCGTCAAATTGTCAAAATGGCCCTTGGTGAGAAACCCACCTTTAGTCAGTACTTTCGTCACGTCAATGACTAAAGTCAAAAGTTTCATCATACATCATTAGGGTTAACATAGTAAATTTGTGCAACTTTGAGGCGTAATTCCTCCACAACAGCAACAAAATGAAGATGTAACTTTGTAGAGAAAGGTCATAGCTTCAAAATTACATCTTGTTTTTTGGTCATGCATTTCCATTTTTGGAGGAATTAAAGGACCTGCAAGACCAATAAAGGTTGTAGGGACTAAATGTCCTGCACTGTACATAGTTGAATCTTAGCATATGGCCATGTAAACCATACTGCAAAGTCTTTATCTGTCAAGAAGAACCTGAATTGCAGTCCTCGATCTCGGAAGGTAGTAAGAAACATTTGCAGTTTGCTCGTTTGTATTCCTTCATATTATTCTCAAGGAATAGATTGGATGGTGAGATTCCGGTGCCATTTACTTCTGCATAAGGCTCAGAACAGATCCTATTTAAAATTGCAATCTGTTTTGAACAAAATCAGATCATATCAGATCTGGTAATAAAAAGCAAATGATTATTCACATTATAATATATACATATGGAATCAATTCAAAATTCATAATGTAATTCATAATTTATAAGTAATTTCTTAATTCATAGGATTTTTTTTTTAAAATTTTATAAAGTCTTAATTTCCTCAATTCATGAAATTGTTTTTTAAAAATAGTTTCTTCCATAAATAATAAACTTTATTATTATTATTATTATTATTATTATACATACATACGATATTTCGAATAAGATTTCTTTCAAATCTGGTCTAATATGATCCTTATTTCTGCATGTAAAACGAATAACTCAAATCCCATATCATTGGTATTATAAGTATCATCCACTACACGCTCATTGAGATTGATTCCTAGTTTGTTTATTTGTTCGAGAATTCCAGTTTCAAATGCCAGTGCACGAACAGGTTCCATTTCCTGTGGCATTTATTCTCCAATAGCCAAATACGTGCAGAATAAAATGCATATTCACAATGTTTATATCGATCTTGCCCTAACTCTGACCACCAAAAGTGGATTTGTTTTTATCCAATTGATATATCAATAGACTCATTGACAAAACATTCATATATCTCTCTTGGGAGAAGATCTATAGAACCCTTCACGCTTTATGGTACGGATTTATCAATTGGTCTTATATGCAAATTCTTGTGGTGAAGTTTTACTTTGGATATCCATAAAGTCTCATCGCGGTTTGGCTGCTAAGATGTCTTTTTGGGAACAGAAAAACCAACATTTGGTTGTGGTGGTGGTTGTATCCTTGCATATGTATAGGTTATAATTCCAGTTGTATTCGATTGATTCAACGATTTTCTTTGCGAATTCTGTGGCTGATAGTTTTTGCGACTAATATGCTTACTCGGCAATGTAAACGTAATTCGATGGTATATATTCACTCAAAAAATCAACATCAACAATTTCCCAGTCACTAGGTTGATTATCATGTATTTTCAGAGAACCTTTTCGTTTTTGGCAAATCCTTGACGACAGTTTTACAGGTGCAGTAATAAATATCCATCAAATGGGATTCCATTTTCATATTAAAAAACAACAATAGTAATCGCTTGTCCCCTCTTTTAAACTTTTATTTAAAGCTGTGTTTTTTTTGTTGCTTACGTTGGGGAAGATCTACTCTTAACTATTTGTGATAATGCAGATGGACAAAATAAAAATAATACACATGTAAGCTCAATTTTATTTTATTTTATTTGGTTTCTTCAATAAAATCTTTGATCGCGAGTACAAATTTATTGCTCAAAAAAATATTTTCATGCATTGAATTTTCAAAATCAATCCAAGTTTTTTTTTTAGAATTGTTTGCTGATTCGAACAATTTTATCATGTGTTGTTGTGGCACTATCTCATCGTTTCTAGATGAAAGAAACAATATCGGCGAATTTATAGATTTTACCATTTCATCATTTTCCCATCTGTTACGAAGAAACAAAGGAATGCTTGCCAAATATCGATAAGGCAACCATTTTTGGGGATATAATTCTATCACCATATCTTTGATCGACGTGAATGTATTTTCAATAATTGTACCTTTGATATCGGATTGAATTTGTGGATGCGATGCTAAGTATAATGCCACCGCACCTCCCAATGAATGCCCATAAACGTAAATTGGATTCTCCGGATACAAACTTCGTACGAATTTGTAAATGGATGTTGCATCCATCTTTAATCCATCTTCTGATGGTGATCCATTGGACAGCCAATATCCTCTATAACCAATTGCAACGATGATTAAATTGGTAATTGTGGACTTTGATGTGGTCGGTAATAGTAGACGATGAAAGATTGGAAGTCGATGGAGCATATTACCGGCATTTCTATTAAATTTCAAAAAAAAAAACAAATATTAAATTAAAACCCAAAAAACATATATATATATTGTTCACATCATGTACCCTTGAAAGTATATTAAAACCGGGTCTTGTTTACTGAAATTCTCGATTGCATCTCTAATAATACTAGGATTTTCTCCTTTTAAACTTTTATTTCGAATAATAATCCCAATCAATTTACATCCATCGTCTGATTTGGCTTCTACTAGTTTACATACCAATCGTTTGTCAATCAACGATTCATCAAATCGATCGTTACGACATCCAATTGGTAAGTAGGGTACATACAAAAATTTATTTTGTAATAAAATAATCATGGTGCTCTGTAAAGTGTAAAATGTAAATGGGTAAAAATTTATTGAAAATTAAAAAGATTTTTAAAAATTAATTTAAAAAGTACCTTCCTTATACACGTATACAAAAAATGGCACACCTAAAACTATGGCAATCGTTGTTTTCCATGAAAAATTCAAAGTATCAGAGAAATTTGAAAGTGAAGAAAAAAAACTTTTTTTTTTTATGTCATGTTTATGATATTTATGATGCTTTTTTATGGTAGAAATCGAATTAAAAAAGTTTTCAGAATATTTTTTAAATCGATTGTGAATGAGATATGTATATTTTATTTTAAATCTTGGACTACCACGAGGAATGTTTAGCAATAAATTTGTCGTGCGTAGTAAAAAAAGTTTGTTCATTTTAATTTAAAATTGTAATTCTGGTCGAATTTAGTTTAGAGAAAAAAAGTGTTTATTGCTGGTTTTTTTTAAGATTCCTAATTGAAAAAATTTTTTTTTAATTCTAATTGTCCAATCAAATTAATCGTGTAACCTGTTGATTATATCATAAAAAAATCAATACGGCAATAGTTCTATATAGACGATGGCCACATTTTTTTCTTTAGAAGTGTTTGTTCTTCTTAAAAATATATTTCTGCGCATAGTTCAGGGAAAAAAAACCACGGGACATGAACAGCATGCAAGAACGTAATTAATTTTTCAAATGATAATGATTGAGAAAAAAAGAACAGTAGAATAGAATATCGTCATATGTTCGAGTTAAATCGTCAAGAGGTTGATTTTATTGGTTCGTATGCTAAAACCATTTTCTATCTATGGAGTTAAAAAAGAACTCGGAATTTATCAATTCATAAGCATAAATTAAGCTGGAATTACGTGTTGATGACGATGATAATAACGATAATAACAACAATAAACAAACGAACAATAAATAAAAAACTCGTTAATGGAAAATTTACGAAGATTCATTCATTCATTCGATTGAAAATATCAAAGAAGGTATCACATCACGAAAGTACATGATGAATCAGAATTTCATTTTTAGTCACTATTGTGAAATATAAAAAAATGCCAATTCTTTTTTCTTCAAACAATTCACGATTAAAAGCATTATCAGTTGGCGAAGAGTATAGAATGACGTTGCGTTTTAACTAATTATATAATATATATATATATATACTGTATAAAAACCATTTATCATGTAATTTCGGGCAACGATCGTCTATATATGATCGAATTGTGGAACCAAAACAAAATTCTAATTTTATTTACGAATTTTCAAGTTAACAGATTTAGAGAACACATTTTTCCTTTATTAAAACACACTCTTATAGTAATTGATTTTGATTTTATTGTCAATTGGTAATTCCTAAATTATACAAAATAATATTTAATAAAATTGTTCGTTAAACCTGCCATGTAATACGCCAACAAATCCATCAATTTCAACACAACAACCCGTTTCATTTAAACTGTTTTTATTGTGAACAGACTTGGATACATCAATACTAATTGACACCACATACGCGCATACTTGCAAACAAATATTGTTTCCTAAATTATTTCAAGGAATTATTTCTGTACCTGTTTTTGTTTATAAATATTGTCCGTTAATACGTTCAGCCAGACGTGTGTATTTCCCCTAATTTAAATTATGAATTTAAATAACTCCCAGATCCTTTAATAACACACCACATCACATCACATCGCCACACCGTATTATATTTATATTATATAACAAATTATGCATACTTAAAGAAAATTTTATATGCTTATCAGATTCCAGCGATACGGAACTTTTTTCGAAAAAAATTAATATATGTTTTTTTGGAATTATAAATAGCCAACTCTCTTATCTTTTAGTTGTATTAAAAAAAAATCAATATGATTGTTTCTATTGTCTAAATCTCCAAAAAACAAACCACAAACAAGACTTTTTCAAGTGTTTAAAAAACCAAACAAAAGAAACTTGGCGAATATATTTTATAAATGATAAATTAAGAAAATCATATAAAGCTTATCTATTGTTTTCTTTAAATACGGAAGCGATCTGTTTGTGTATTGATTAAATTTTGATATTATATATTTCATATAAAGACAAACCAATTGTATTGACTTTTTTTCTTTATAAATAAGAGTCAGATTTCCCCATCTTTTTATACCTTGTGTCGTAAAGTAAATAAATAAATATTTTTATCAATTAATTTTATCTAAGATAAAATGACCGGAATCAGTGAATCAAACGAAGTGAATCCTCTTTCTCTAATTAATGTCCCCAACCCACCTAAAAATTTAAGACTTACTAACTTTATGGGAAATCGCTTTATAAGAAAATACAAGTCACCCAACGCGTTCATTCTATATAGGAGAGAACTTTTGAACAAATTAAGATCGCGCAATTGTCACATAAATATGGCAGAAGTTTCAAAAATGGCGTCTCGACACTGGAGAAATGAGGACGAAGGAGTTAGAAAGAGTTATAAAAAAATTGCAAAGAAACTTAGTACTGAATACTCAGAAATTCAGTCTAATAATTTAGAATACAAATTTGATAAAATAATGACGCCTTCTAACTATATTTGATATATAACTTTCTACATCTCTCTTTTTGATAATCGTATTTTTCATCTTTTCATATTTCATATTTCACGTCGTTAAAAAAATTTTTTTTGTACCGTTATTTCTTTGTTATTTTCGTTTTTCATATTTGTATGGTTTAAATATGACAGTTTATTTTTTTACTTTTTTCACACCATCTATATAATTTATCATAGGCAAAAAAAAAAAAAATTATGACTAAGATAAATAAATAATTAAGCGATAAATAAATCTTGATTTTTGATTAAGCGAACTGTATCACTGGCGCAGTTTTTATCATAATGATATTCTTTTATTAACGGCAATCTTTTTTTTATTATTTTATTTTTCAAAATGGGATAATTAATTGACTCGGTTGAATGAATAACAATTATCGAATGCGTGTGTGTGTAACACATGCAACATATACATCATATTATCCCTCTTTGATAAAACCAATGCCAACTGCATCTGACAATTGATAAGTCCCGTATAAATTTTACATAACTCATATATATTTTCATTATTCTCCCAATTAATAATTAATACACACACATTAATATCTATTAAAGAACCAGAGCATTGTATTATTATTTCTAAACAGAGTGAGATGTTGTTCTAATTTAATTCATTTTTTTAATTCTTGTATTTATATAATCCAAAAAAAGAGCATTTGTTTTATATTAAAAAACCATGTGGATTTAACAATCACCCATTTAACATATCAATATATTAATATGCATAAGATTTTTTTTTTTAATTGGTTAAAAATCTTGTCAAAATTAGCATGGTGGATATTCTAATGTTACACTTTTTTTTTCATTAAAAAGTATGTGTGTGATAGGAGCAGTTATGAAACATGTGCACCGAACATAAAGTGTTATTGTTAAAACAATTGTTACACAATTCGAATGTCCAAATATTCATTATGTGGCTAACAATTTAATTAATTTAATTGGTAGCACGTGTCAAATTAGCCACAATCTACGATCAATATAACAAACAATTGATTGATCATTTGTATTTGTCAACATTAATTGTTAGAAATAAATAAATAAAAAATTGCACCTTGGCCTTTTTAAATAAATATATTTAAAGCATTAGTTTGTTTCGAATAAAAAGAACGTTAGAAAGAGAACGGGCAAAAAAAAGAAAAAAAATAATTACATAAAAGGGCAATTAAGTTTAACTTTGTACGAGCGAGATTTATAAATCTGTGCATATGTATTTATGTGTACATATATATATATGTGCATTTATATATGTGTGCATTTATATATGTGCGCGTTTGTATATTAGCATTGTATATTCCATATAAGTCACACGCATATTCGCCGTTTATTTTGATCTTGATTTAATCTTCTCAAACCGCACGCACTCCCTCCCTTCTTCCAACAATTGCTTACTATTCCAATTTAAATCAAGTATGTGACACCGCGTTGTGCTAGTATAATCCGGTTCTTAGCCGTGTGTGCACATTATATAGTATAATATAATAACAAGTTAGACTGTGAGATATGTGTAACGTATAATCGTTAATTTAAAACTTGGTTTTTTTTTATTTTTATATTTTATATTGATTTAGGCGCGAAATCCTTTTCTACTTCTATATTATAAAAAATAAGTGATGCGCACTAACAGATTTTATGTTTAGGTTATCCGAAAATTTGAGTAATTATTTACATTATTTATTACATATAATCCACATAACAACAGCCACCAATTAGTTATTTTTGAAATTTTAAATTCTATTATAATATAAAAAAAAGGGATCATTCCAGATCAGCGGCAAACATAATCAGATTTAAAAAAAGATAGCTTTCGTTCTTTTTTATAATTACTATTTTTGGATTATGGTACAAGGAAATAAATCTCCAATTGACATTTAATCAAAGAGAAAAGATAATATCAATAAGCGTAATTCATAATTGAATTAATAGAGATTATTTAGTCAAGAAAGCTGGAACTCTTATTCTTTTTTACAAAAGGAAAAAAAAAAGAGAAACTTGACTTTATTAATATCCGAAATATCAGGTTTCTAATATTTTCTTGAATTCCATAAAAACCCCTAAAATTACAATTACTAATTATTAATTTAAAAAAATTTTTTTTTTGGGTAGGAAAAATTTCCGTTTCACAAAGCTTGATATTACACCAATTTGCTTTTATAAAGGTTTTCCAACTTAGTGAAAATAAAAAAAGTTTCTTTTTCTTTTTTTTTTTTTCAAAAAAAATCGTTTTGTCGTTTTGTTTAAATCTTACAAAACCAAAATAATATTTATATAATAATTAACTGTACAATAAAAAAAAAACTATTTTTCTCTTTTGTAATTACAACCTTTTATTCTTTGACAAAAAATCAAATACACACACACATATTATAAAAATGACTTGTCAAAAATCAGAAACTTTAAAAAATACATTTATTCTCAAACGCATCGGTAGTAATCCTCGTGCAATAGCACGTAATAGTATCCCTAAACATAAAAAGAATAGTCCCAATCAAACATCGATAGATCCCGCACTTATAGACAAGCCTCCATTCCCACCAACTATTCTACCTTGTGAACTTGTTTTTAATAGAAATGCCACAAACATCCATAAAAAAAGCCCAAACGTTTTTTTTATTTATCGTAGAGCCTTCGTAAAACACCTCCAAAAATCCAAAATATCAATCAAAATGACCGATCTTTCAAAAGTTGTCAGCTTTCATTGGAATTCAGAACCTCCGCACGTTAAAGAAGAATACACCAGGATTGCCAATGAAGTTGATGATTTGTTAGAAAAACAAAAAAAATCGATTAAAGGATTTCAATTCGTTGACCAAACTGTTGTAACAGCTGAAAAACAAGACAGCGCAACAATTTCTTCAAAAGTTATTATTGAACCTAGGAATAAATATAACAGTGTCATTAATGGTGATAATAATACCAATAGAAATTACAACACTGGTAATAATTATCCAATCCAAGGCTGGATTAGCACTTCCAATTACCACGAACAATCAACAACACTCACTCCCTCATCAACAATGTCATTGTCTCCTAACCCTTCGGAAGCTGATTCAATTTATGAACCATTTATTAGAGAAAAATATGCTGTTGTGCCAGATAATGATCATTTAGCTTTATATAACGATAATGATTTGCAAATACCTCAAGATAATGATGTTTCGATAGAAAATCATCAATGCACTCAATATGATTCCTCGTGTCAAAATTTTCTTGTCAATAATTATGAATTTAGCATAGTTCACATGCAACAATTATTTGAATATTATAATTACTCTAATTCTTTTGAACAGGATGATTTGAATCAAAGTCAAGATGAATTTTCCTATTCTTCTGATAACTCTAGTGGTCTTCTTTTATGATCTGTATAAATACTTTTTATTTATTACCAAAATATATTATATTATTTCATTCAATTTAAACCCTTTAAGCTTACCTTCACAACTGTCATTAACTGTCATTGTAATTTTTAAGACATCCATGTAACCTTTTCTTTTCTTATGTGTTATTATTATTGTTATGTTAATGTAAGCATTATTATAAAAACATTATTTATTTATTTATTTATTTTAACTTGCATTGTTAATCTTTCAATTTTTCTTTTTTTATTCATGAAAACAATAAAATTACCTTTTAAAGTAAAGAAATTGACTGTGTGTGCGTGAAAAGATGTTATAAACCTGATATGCAACTATTTAAAGGTTAATTGTTCGTAGAGTTTTAGGCCAAAGAAGTTTTTCTGACATAATTTGTTTTTGATATTATTCTAATAAATAATTGTTCCTTGTTATTATTCTAAATAAAATAATTGTTCCTTGTTATTATTCTAAATAAAATAATTGTTCCTTGTTATTATTCTAAATAAAATAATAAAAATAAATTTTCTTTTGATATTTTTTCCTCTGATTAAAAATCACGTAAAAGTGAGATTTTCAAGCTAATTCTAAAAGCAGCACATTGCAGATTTATTTACTATCAATACTTAAAACATCTAACTTTTTATAACTACCTCTATAGAATATATATGGAAATTTGGAAACACAACTTAAAACATAAAATTTGTTATAGTAATAATTATCAATATTACGTGTTTTCCAAAAGTTTGGATCTAATTATAGACAAATCTTTTACAAAAATAATATAATCAAATATGCAGACTAAATGACTATTTAACTTTGGTGATTAGTAGAACACAGTACCAACAACAATAATAACACAATATTTGATTTAAATTATTTAATTGATTCGATATTTAGAATTTTATTTTAGGCCAAAACTTGTTTTAGCAACTCGATGTTTTTACAATTTTTTGTTTCTCCAAAAATTTGTCATTTTGTCTTACAATAAACCAGTAGATGTTAATTGACGTAATGATACTTTTAATTGTTGTATTTTTCTATACGTAATACTAATATTTATTAATATTTATTAATATCTATTAATATCTATTAATATTTATTAAGATTTATTAAGATTTACTAATATTTATTTACTAATATTTATTTTAATACTTACTATTATTCTTATTTTGATATATCAATTCAATTTGATTTAATTAAATTATCATGATTAAAAACACATCTTTGGTGAATTATTGCTTTTCTTCCCCCAAATTTTCTTGGCATCAGCAAGATAATCAATTGATTGAATGTAATTAATTATTCGCGTTGTTATTGTCGTTATTTACTATCGTCATTACTATTCATTATCGACATTTTAGTTATTCATTCAGAGCGTGTGTCACATGGTACTGTTTTATATGTTGTGCAAAACACACTAATACCAAATTTAGAAATTAATTGCTAAATTAATTTTACGTCATTCGAGAAACGGCTGCGTCGAATCGAAAAGATTAAAAAATTCTATGTATCGCGTTTAAATATTTTATTTACAAAAAAACCCATATGGGACTCTGTTAACAAAGTAAGAGCATGAGGTTCCTGGCTCAAAATTGAGTTTCTTGCTATTTATATATAATTGGTGAAAAAATCAGACTCTGTTTATTAAAAAGAAAAAGAATAAACGGGCAACAGAGAATCAATATAATCTCTTTGAAATAAGTTTCATGTCGTCTGTAACAAAAATTTTTTTTTTTTGATTTTCTCTAGAATAAAAAAATTGACGGGACCCGTGCTTTGTTTTTGTTGGGCCAGTCCTCATATTGTTTAAATTTTTCCTGATTTTTCCTAAAATGTTTTGTATGTGTGTGTATATATATATGTATATATGTGTGTGTGTATACAATTATTTTACAATTCAAGTTATGTAACTCGCACTAGTAAATATAATCAAAAAAAGAAATTGATTTATAATCAAGAATCCACAAAGTTTCAAGAATTGTCAAATACAGGCAAAGCAGAAGTCCAAATCAAGATGATATTCCTTATCGGCTAATAATATCAAGTCACACTTTCTAAATTCAGGGACAAATAGTAGGATGGAAAAAGGTAATTTAATTGTATATTGTAGAATAAATCGCAATATATACGCATATATATATGTATGCATGTAATTTATGTGACAGTGACTAATCATGCTTATGGGATTATTAGATCACGGAATTACTGTTTTGCCAAATTGTGTAGTCAATTATAAAATGTACGTATGCATTTGGTGGTGACAAACATTCACTTTACAAAAAACTATTTTGTAAAATAAGTGAATGTATAAATTGTAATCAATCTTACAAATCATACATACATTGACTCAGAGAATTTGAAACCATAAAGTTCATTGTCAATTTGATCAATCAACTAAAATATACAATAGAAATCAAATCTTTTATAATTTAATTATTTTGAAACATTAGGTTTTTATATTAACCCAAACCTGATTATTAATCAACTCATGAATTGAGAATTAACTGATCTAACCAAAAATATCTTTTTTTTTGTTGTTGTTGTTGCGTTAGTCTATATTATTTAAATCTTCTTGCGTGATTTTACGTTTCACGAAAATGTTTAATAATGTATATGTAATATTTAATGGAGTTTTTTCTAAGTAATAATTCTTCTTCTTCTTCAAATTTACTTTCTTCTTTTGAAGACTTGTGAATAAAGCACATTTTTACTATTTATAATTAATAAATTTTATATTCTTGTTTGCAAAATTTGGTGATTTTTTAAAAGCATGAATTTAAACTTATCAGTTTATTATTACGATAATATATATTAAAACTTTTGAGCGAATTTCTCTTCTGTGCCATTGTTCGCCGAAAGATGTGATCATTTATAAAATAGGAATACAACAGATAAAGATGAAAGCACGGAGTTTTTCATCCTCAAAAAAGAAATGTAATTTTATTTTCTATGTAGTAATTGTTAATTAAAAATATACATACCTTTCGTTTGTTTTTTTTTTTTAGCCACACGTGGAGAAATCGAAAAATAAATTAATTTGTTGACTTTTTTAAGAGATAATTTTTCTTTTTGCAAGACTTTGAAAATTAAATTTGTTTCATCTTTGCTTTCATGTATTTAATCGAACCGAAGATTTTGGTCTTAATAGAAGTGTAATTGGAAAACAAGAAAATGTGCGGCCAGACTCGTTATTAATTTTCTTTATTTTTAGTAACAAATTTTGCATTTGCTGATGCCATCGTTCGCCAAAGGAATTAAAAATTTTTAATTATGACGATCTGTGTTACCTCGGCCATTAATATATGATTTGAATACCTTGTAAAGATTCAATAATGAAAAACATATTAAGATGTATTGATATGCAATTATTATCACAAATAAATTACATATTAAATGTTTCTAATAAATAAATCCATCGGCTTTGTGTGGAATATTAGAATTCTAGAATATAACTTTAAACGGTACAAGTTTTTTCTATTGTATATCACATAAAAAAATCATTCATTACTTCATTATTTACTCATTGTTGTAACAATTACTTTTGTGTAACAATTTAACAATATTAAGAGCAAATTATTTAATAACTTTCTTAATGTCAATTATCACACAAATAAATGTTGTAATATTTCTTCATCAAGTATTTGTTTATTTTGTAAACAAACAAATAGAACTATTATTAAATTTAACCTCATTGCATTAATTTAAAAAATCAGTATAAAAAAAAAAAAAAACCATATAAATACGTAAAAAATTTTGGAAAGCTTTTTTTTTAAAAATATAGAGGTCATCATCTAAACACTCAAACACTCAAACACACACACACAATTTATTTATTTACTATTTATCTATATTTCTAGTTTTCTCTTTAAAAAAAAACCACACTAATATTCATTTTATTCACCATATAATGAGCTGCCAACTCCAACTCACTTGTGGTGACGATTTCGAACGACTTTTAAATTCGATGCAGATTTTCCCGATACCACATAGTCGCAGTGTGTTAGACTTAATAAAAACACGATCACCCGAGAGAATGTGTTCAAAGGTCTCAAATTCATATTTTGTCTACAGAAAAGTGATTAATGATCAATTGAAAGATAGATCAATAAAGCTGCCGATGGCTGTCACTTCGGCATTAACTAGCTACGGGTGGAATAAAGCATCCCCAGAAGTCAAGTATGCCTACGAACAACTCTCAAAAGAGTGTGAAAAAAATTTGAATTTAAGACGTAATAAAGAATTGGTCTGGAACCCAAAGCCAAAAGAGTCGAAAAACAAAAAAAAAACAACTCGTAAATCAATCAAGCACAAATCAACAAAACCATTTACACCCTATGGATCCATTCATCTAATTAACTTCGATGATGATGATGATGATGATAATAATAATAATAATAATAATAATAATAATAATAATAATAATAATAATAATAATAATAATCATAATAATAATAATCATAATAATAATAATGCTCCTTTAACGCCCGCGCAGAGTGAAGTCGGCATGACATCACCTAGTAATAGTGAATCAAGTTCGTCGGCTTCTCCTTATCAACTTGTCAATAATGAAGAAACAAATACATTCAAAGGCGATGATATTTTATATCCTAATCCATTAAATCACTACAACTACAACTACAACAACTATAATAACGACAATTACAACAATGACAGCTATAACGACGGCAATTATAATAATAACAACGGAAACAACTATAATTTTAGCGACAACAACGGTTTTTTTTCGCCAAGCACGCCTACAAGATCGGATTTTCAACCCCCCGCTATTAACGAACAATTTTTGCCACATTGTTATTGGTGTAATTCCCCTCCAGATAGTGCGTTGATTGATTTTTCTCTACAAAATACTGACGTCGCATCATTACAAAATTATTCTGATTATGACAATAGTCTGGGCATCTCTTTTCCTCTCTTTTCCTCGCTTTAATTAATTAATCAATTATTATCAAACTTTTTTTTTGTATTATCAATATTTATTTATTTATTTACTATTTCACAAGATTTCAAAAAAAAATTTTAAGGAAACAAACAATTTATTTTTTTATTACTATTGTTTATTATCATCATCGTCATAACAATACAATAACAATAAGCAAAAAATATGTTAAAAATTATTTCAAAAAGTTTTTTTTCATCCTTTCGTAAAATTATAAAATTATGTGTGTGTATATATATATATATATATAATTAGCATTACAAACATAAAACAATTAATGACTTATATAATTCCATTTATTTATCTGATATAATTATAAATACAATTTAAGTTAACAACTCAAGAAAAAAAGGAAAAAAAGTTTAATGTCAAATTAAGTAACTATAATAAAAAATTTAAGAATAATAATATGCTTACCACTAAATAAATAAATTCTTGTTACGTTGTGATAGTGCTGTTCTATCCATGACTCTACACATAGTTGGTTTAATAGATAAATAAATATTTATTACTTTTTTAATAAACATAATGATTATAGTGATTATAGAACCCTTCCTTTCCTCATCGGATGGAACTGATGACAAAGCCAAAGTTTAGATTCTTTCCAGCCCACCCCTTAGATTCTTTGGATTGTTCAGACTATTCATAAAGTTCTATCGGGTTCATAAATTTTAACCGACTAATTGTCTTTATGTTTATAGACAAAGAAATCTTTTACTTGAAGAAGATTCGGTTCATCTGCTCCAGAAGATTTGGTTTTATCGTTTTACTTGATGATGATACAAATTCAATTTTAGCTGTTTCACTTGATGATGAAGATTTAATTTTGTCTTTTGTAATATCAGCAGAAGAATTATAAAGTGGTGGTGGTGGTGGTGGTAGGAATCAGATTTACCGTGCAGATCATAATCAATTAATTGTTTATATATAGTAACAATTGGCCAGCTTCAAAATACTAATCTTTAAAAAAGTATAGCCGAGAGGTTTATTGTTCATGACAAAACCTATCGGCTAATTTTTGGCTGAGCCTTAGCATTTTGAAAATTACAAATTTTGTTTATACACTTATAGAGTAACAATTTTTTTATAGAATATTTTTTTATTTCCTTTTTTATTAATAAAATAAAAAAAGTTTACATGTGGGCCCATCTTTACTTAGAAGTACAAAAATGGTTAGTGTGCGCGTTAAGTTTGCATTTTATGAACTGAATAAATTGGCCAGTATGTAACATGGGACAGAAACCGTCTCCGAGGCCATCCCTGACCAAATTTGTGTTTATTAATGTATAACAAAGATTGTAATTGGTGAAAATACTATATAGACTCTGCATAATAATAATAATTGTTTATTTTTGCATATTACAAACATACAGTCCAAGTTTCTCTATAATGAACCAAGATGTTGGTCCCGATTTTTATCAATTAAATTTGCTCTGTATAACGAACTTTATGGTTAAATTCTCCACTCTGTATTAACGAACTGCCTTTTATATATTAATATAAATGGCAAAAATCTGCTAAAAATTTATTAGTACATATTAAGTGTTGATGAAAGCATTGTTTTCTAATAATAACGATGTTGATAATGATATAACTGAAGTATCACATAAAGATAGATAGATGCCTTGTTGACAATAGAAAAAATTACACTTTAAACAAATCATGATTAACAGATAATGAATTGATAAATTCAAAAAAACAAGCGAAAAATTTATATATTTTTGTGAATACATATATACATGTGGGCGACATATAATCATACATGGGTTGCAGCCAATAAATTATATGGATTTACAATTTTATTCATAATTAGAGAGAGATGTGAATGTTATATAACATTTATGGTTTTTTATAACAGATTTATAACAAATGGTCGTATTAATTGTATATAATAGAATTCTTTACAAAAAAATTTTCTTCCCAAATCCACCTTTAAATGCTGGAATACCAAAGAAAACCAGATATGCTTAAATGTATTATGATCAGATGAACCCATAAATGATCCTACTATGTAGTGGTCTGCTTTAAAAACGAGGTGCCAGTACTTTATGAACTTGCTGATAAACTTATGTCAATTCCTGCTTTGTTGAAAGAAATTGGTGACATTTGGCTTTCTTCATAGACTAACTGATGACAGAGTTTTTGGTTTATATATGTTCAAATTTTTGTTGAATGACAAAGTTACAAATCATAATATAATTTGGGAGATGTAAATATTTGGATGAAGATGAAAATGAAAATGAAAATGAAAATGAAAATGAAAATGAAAATGAAAATGAGATGAACATGATGATGGATGATTTTTAGATTCGCAAAGCTTTATACTTTGTGCTACGTATGACTGTTATATTTGTTATAAAGAAATTTATAACATGTTATATTCCATCACTAGAACGCTCTCTATAGCGAACGAAATTTCTCGGTACGTATAGAGAGAGCTTTGACTGTCTGTACGTTGTAACCAAAATTTGTAGGGGTTAATGAAAATACACATCAATTCCAACAAGATAGGCATCGGATAGGTAGGTATATATTCATAAGAATGATGTGTTGCTTATCAGTCACATAGGGTTTATCCATGCCATCGATGTTAATCCGGATATCCGTAAAAAAAATCTGTTCATATTAATATGATTAATATTTTTTAGAAAGTCAATAAGCGAGAATTTAATAGTGGTCCCCTTGATTTGGTGAAATTACAAAAAAAGGTATCCTCTTGTAAAACTTGATCACTGATATCTTTCTATTTTGGCAACTTCAACATCAAGTAAAATATTGTTCAATCATGGAGGGAATTTATTGGCTGTTAAAATTATTTAGAGTTATTTAATGAACATTATTTTTAAAAGAAATGCAAATTGTGTTAAATGTATTCTTGATTTCATAATAAATATCTGACGGATGTAACCGAGTGGTGAAGAAATGACAGACGGAATTTTGAGGTAAATAGTAGATGAACAGACAAATGAACGGTCATTTCCGAGTCTCCAATGATAGTAACGATAATAATTTCCGTGAATGCTTTAAAACATTTGCACTTATTATTATTATGTTGTGAAACATATGCTTGAGATAATCCATTTATTTCGTTTCTCAATTGGAGGGTTATTATTATCAATTGATGTTGATATTAATATTGGCGTTGGCATTTGACATTGTATTTTGTTTATAATTTAAATAGCCTTGCAAAATAGCAATAATCTAAAAGGGATTGTGATATTTTGAATTCAATTCAATTTTTCGGTTAATAAAAAATCATAATTAAATCATACACATTATCAATTTTTTGATTCCATTCAACTTAATATCTGTTATTTCTTCTAATTTAATTCTTATTCTTTTCACTTCTACCCTTTCACTACTTGATCTTCCTTTGTTTCTTTCGGTGTATTATCATCCAATTTCTCTTTAAAATAATTTTAAATGATTGGTTTTTCCTACCTACAAATTTTTTTTAATAAAAGCTCTTAACCAATAATCATAATAATTCACTACTAATAGCCACACATACCATTAAATTTTCCTGGGTTTAGAGTTAGAATCAGAAGATTGTTCAGGAACTTCATTTACTTTCTTTAAAACTTTACTGCCAGTCTTCGATGCTTTAGATTGTCTCTTCTTATTTTTTGTTGAATATAAGTGATTCTTTGAGCCATTTTTGTATTTGTAAATTTTCTTCATTTAATTTTAAAAGACTTTCTTCTGGAACTCGTTCATTTCATTGTATATTCATCAATGTAAATATTGTCACCAGTCATTTTATAAAAATTATAAAAGCTTTGAAAAAATTGTGGCTATGTTTTTTTCATCCTTTATAATGCCCAGTTTCCGACTTTTGATTTGTTGAACCTAAAAGGTTCAACTTTTAGTATATATCTAAAATCAACGAAAGATTTTGTCAATAAATAAATATACATTTTGATCTGATAACATATATATTACATTTGCCTCATAAATTAGAGGTCCAAGCTTAATTTTCTGAAAGATTGAATGTTTTTTCTTGATTTATATTTACTATCAACCTTACCCCAAAACATCGACCTATGTAGTTTCCGGGGTTTTCAGATAATCAAAATTTTATATGTTACACACAATGTTTATAAAAATAAATGGATATTTATTGATTGATAAAATTTCATCAAAAAACAAAAAACGATTTCTATTATTAAAAAAAAAAACATGCAAACGTTCCTAGTCGAAGAATCAAATTCCAAAAAAAATTCTTATAATTACTACGATTCAAAAAATGTACTAGAAGAAAAAATAGGTGACAAAAGAGAAGATTATTCAATAGAGGATTTCGATACAAAAGAAGATGTTGTGTCTATTCATACCGATTCAGATTATTCTTTGCCTAGTGACGAAGAAGAATTCGATACAAGTGATGGTGGTGATAATAGTAATAATATTAATAATAATGATAATGATAATAGACAAAGGGCTATGCCAATTACTACTAGATCCGAGAAAGTTGAAGGTTTATCAAATTTATCAACAACTATATCTACAACTATCATTTCCAACACCAATAATAATAATAACAATAACAATAATATTAATGCTACAACTATTAACGAAACTGATTCTAACTTATCTTCTGCACCATCTAAAATAAATAAAGATAATACAATACAAAATTCTTCTTCAACATCAACATCATCACCAACATCAACATCGTCACCAACATTATTATCATCATCAACTTCATCAACCTCAACTTCATTATCATCAACTTCGATTAATATCAAAAACAATAACAATCCTGTTATCATTACTAACACAAACGCTAATTTTAAAAAGAGGTATATAAATGATGGCAGTATTCCATATTCAAGGAATTGTGAGAGGCCATTTAAAGAACATTCTCAACATTTTCATTTTGACGATCGTGATAGTAGAGAACTTGTTTACAACAATGACATTTATGAATGGCCACCAAGATATCATCATGTTATGTCATATCAAAATTATGATCTTGATCGAGAATATGAACATGAACAACAATACATGGATGACAGGATGTCATTCCCGCCATCACCACCACTACCTCACCATATTCCTCATTATCATCATTATCCTCATCATCTTCATCCAGATATACCACACAGATTTATTGACAGGATTGATTATATTGATTATGATGGAGAAAATGATAGAGGCATCGGCATTGGTGGTGGTCTAGAATCTGGTAATCGAACCTCATATATTATTAACGGTAATAATAATATGTCAAATACCGGAATAGGAGGTAATAGAATTAATAATTGTGGTAAGTCGTTGGCAAGACAACGATCACTGGAAAGTATCAATAAAGATGATCATTTATTACTATTACGTGAAAGAGACCAGTATATAAGAGAAGAAATATACCAACGAGACCGAGATTGGGATCCAAAACTGACATCATTACCACCACCGCCCTCACCATCACTTTATCATGATTTTACAAGAGATCATAATCATAGCAATGGCAGCAATTATAATAACATTAATGCTAATAATAATATTAGAAAACAACATGATGACCTGCAAAGACCTTTACCATTTCCTCCACGTGATAGTTTTAGAAAATTTGATGATAGAGCTCCTCCCATGATGTTGACTCATAGAACCGATGATAATTATTATTACGGTACAATGTCTGATCGATATTTAAGAGATTTAAGTGTTAGTGATTATGACAATGATATTTATTATTATAGAAATATGCAACAAGATAAACCAAGAATTGACTCAACAAGTAGAGAAGAAAGATCATTGAATGGATTGGTTGATTTTAGTAGTAGTATGAGTAATAGCAATAGCAAATGTGGAACTTATTACATCAAAAACAACAGTAGTGATGGCGGCAGTGCTTGCAGTAATAATATTGGTAATAATAGAAATGGAGGGAACAATAGTAATATTGTTTATGGTAAGGATAGCACAAAAAATATTTTTTTTAATGAGAATCATTATCAAATACTGAAAAATCAAGATATGGAGACAGATACTACTGATTATTGCAATGTTAAAAATGATATCGTTAATAACGACAATATTAATAATTTAGGAATCAATCAATATTATCAAAGAATTAATAATAATGATAACGATAACAATAATAATTATTATTTAGGTAGTAGCAAATTTAACCAACAACAATATGATCAATACTATCATAACCGAAACTATCATCATCACCATCATTCATCACGCTATCCATCACATTATTATCCATCACAAAATCAACCACAAATGCCACCACCCTTTATGAACAAAAGAGAAGAACCTTCTTTACCATATCCTTGGGAACTATGTATATCCAGTAAAAATAAGATTTACTACTTCAATACTGAAACTCATGAAAGTCAATGGACATTTCCATCCGAAGATAATTATAAAAAGAATTACGATGACAACAATAACGACATATGGCCAATAGATTCAACTGAATGAATTGATAAATGAGTTTAAATTAAATGAGACGAATCTGATAAATGCACTATCATCCAATGAGCTTACAATGTCATCTAAAGATGCCACCATCATCAAAAAGTGCACAAACAACATTTGATGAGTTTTATTTATTGCTTTATTATCATTTTGTAATTATAATTATTTAGTTTTAGAAAAAAAATCATATATTTGGACAAATTAAATATTCAGAATAAGCTTTATATTGCTAATTATATAACTAATAAATAATAAGTAGAATAATAATCAACTTTTGGATATTTTTTTATTATAGAAAACTTTACTACTTTAGATGTATTACATTTTACATCTATGCAATTTGTATAATACACAATCATAATCACACTAGAATAATATACATATTTTATTTATTATTGCTAAAAATTGATAATTTTTTTAAAAAAATTTATTTATCAAATTTTCATATGATAAATTTTTTTTGGTCAATTAGTTAATGAAAGCAAATCAATTTTTTAAAGAAACTATAATAGCCAATACATTTTAATGCCATCTGTTTATTAGGAATAATGAATCTTATTTTCATATATGGGGCATGCTGCAACAAAACCAGACAAAGTGAACATTGGTATTACCAAGGATTTCAGGGATCAAAATTTAGTAATGTGATTATAATTTGTTATCTTAAGTGATATATAGAATTACCTCTATATAAAAATAGTTTAATATGAAACTCATTTATATCAGATCTGCTATGGAATCCAAGAATTATAGTACTATCAGAAGTATTTTGAAAAAGGAACAATGTGGAAAAATTGCTCCTTATATTTTTGAAATAAATGACACTCAAACACTGGAAACTTATCTAAGAAAAGAAGGTATTACTTATGAAATTTATCAAGAAGAAAGAAAGTTAATAAATATAAGAAAAGAAAGCAGGATGAGGATGTACAATTACAAAACAAAAGGCAGAATCTTATTGAACATCACTTATGATTGTTTCATATTGTTTCATGTAACATTTAATTTTGATTTTTAATTCATTTTCAAACTATTGATTAGTTTGTTTCATGATTTGTTCATTAAATTCAATGATAACTATGTCCATAATCTTCCAGATAGGTTGATAAGCTTCATATTTATATTTTTATCTAATTAGATTATGGTGTTATCAATCTATGTATTTTATTATATAAAGGACATTATTTAAGTAATAAAATAATAACTTGTATTTTTTACAATCATTAAAAATACCTGTTTGGAAACATACATTTTGATCCTCACAAAAGTAATTCTTACAACTGCAAAAGTGGTTACAATATACATGACTAGAGGCTGATCTTACACTATGGATGTGGTGTATGAAAAAAACTGAATTTCCAATACTTTCAAATTTGGTCAATAAATATCTTTCAATACCTACAACATCTGTGCCATCTGAAAGACTTTTTAGTGGTGTTGATAATCAAATAATTGCAAAAAGAATTATATTAAGTTCTGAAATCATTAATAAAATTTTATTTTTAAAAATAAATATTTTTCTTGACTAAACATGCAATGATTATTGATCCTTGATATTTAACAATTAAAAAAAAATTAACAGTTAACCACCAGTTAACTGAAAATTTTCATAGTTAATCAACTAAAAGAAATTATTGATTCTTTGCTCGCATTAATAATTTTTCCCATGAAAATTTTTTTTTAACTCAATAAATAATTATTTTTTCTGTCTTTTCCTTTTGATGGTACCAATCTCTAGTGTAGATGCACCTAAATCCTGATCAATGTTTATTTGTAAATTCTCTCTAGTTCTTTTTACTTTTGGTGTGTCTTCAATTAGGACTTTATATACAATTTTACCTTTTTTACCTTTGTTTAATGTTTTAATCATTGCAAGAACATCTGCCTGTTATATCAAAAATAATCAGATCATATAAGGAATTCAGAAAAAAGTATTTACTATTTATTAAATTAATACCTGGAAGTTCATAAGAATTGTCATATCTTTTGAAAACTGCTCCATGTCATCAAATGTGATTGGAATTTTAATGGCACCAAATTCCTCAAATAAATATACAGAAGGCAGTGGTCTCATCATATAATGAATACGAATTACTCCATCTAAAAAATTCACATTAATAACTAAAACTTTTTGATATTTTTTTTTCTGCAATGATACTTACTAATACATTGAACAGTGTATACTCTCAGCTTATCACATGTAACCTCATCAGAAAGTTTATTTATCAGTCTCATAGCATTTCTACCAAGTTTAATTTTGTCATCCATTTCTTTATTTTCAGTTGCTTTTCTTCCTTTTGAAAATTCTAATAACATAATAAATTTATCATCTTTCTTTATTTTAGGAATTTTAATTATTCCATCAAATTTATGAGATTTAGTGTTAGGTGTCATACATTCAATCCTAAATTAGCAAATAAGGATTAATACAGTATCAGAAGTTAATAAGTGATTTGATATTACACCAAATACATGCCATCTCCATTCAAGAACATCCTGGTGCATTCTAAAGAGTCTATTAAGAATATAAACAACTGTATCAATTGCATAAGTTCTTTCTAAATCAGATGATTTAGAGTCAAGAATCATCGGTGCTTCCAACCTAACAGAACTATTTGATGATAGTGTTGGTTATTGACTTAAAAAAATATAATAACCTTAGGCACAAATAACTTACAAATGCTTCATAATATCTTGAACTATATCGTGACCTTCATGCAAAAAAGAATTGAATTGACCTTCAATAAAAGATTTTCTGACTAAAAGAGGAACATTCACTCGATTGCAATTGTCTTCATTGAATTGGTCACAAAAGCTAATAAACTCTTGAGTTTTTTTCCAAACTTTCTTGTTCAATATATTAATCAACCAATTAAGTTGCTCTTTCTCTAGCTTTTGATTTATTTGTTCTTTTACATTAGTCATATCAATTATACCATTTAATAAAAATGAGTCCATGATTTTCTTTCCAGATTCATTTTCCTTGGATTTATTAAGTTCAAGAATCTCTAGCAAAACATCTCTTATTAATTTCTCATTATCATCTAAATTTTGTAAAGCCTGGAAGAAGGAAAGCATACTTATTAGTTATTAAATATGAATAAAAACAAAAAGTTATATATCACCTCTGATAATAAATCATCAATGTTATTATAATCTGTATCTTCATCTTCTCCTTGATTAACCATATTATTTGAATAATCTGCTACTTCGATTCCCTAAATTAAGGAAATTATTGAAACTAAGCAAAACGAATTGCAAGTGCCATTCCTTCTTTACCCTTTATAGGATATTTTTGTGGACAAAAATTTAAACTATATACCAACCCTTTTTCCATCTTGCACTTCAACTCGACCACCTTCCCTATGAAAAAAGGTTTACAGAAAAGTTACAGGAAAATACAGAAAGTTTATTAAAAATTTACACGAATCTTATTCTATATGAAAAAGTTTGCAGAAAGTTTATAAGAAACTAGAGTGACGACGGGTGGCGGACGATAACCACCACCATCCTTAAAACACTTACTCAACAACTGCACCAGAGATATTAAATTTGCTCCTTTTATTCGAATATTTCTTTTGTGGCATTGTATATAACAAGAACAAAAAAAAGAAAAAAAGTTCGTGATACGATCGACGCGTACACATTAATTATTTATGGTTTTTTTTTGGTAGGACAGACGCGAATTGATTTTTTTTTCTTTCTTGGAAAAACAATTTTTTGACAGAGTCCAAGGTGACAAAATGTGAGTGTTGTTGTTTGTTTGGTTTGGTTTTGGTCTCCTAAATAAACATGTTAATTATTTTTTTATTTGTATTGGTATCTTTTTTAGTATATAAACATTTTAATTGGAATCAAAATGTGGAGCAGATCTTGCTGGGTAATTACAAGATTTTCATTGATAATATTGATAATATTTTGTTTTTCGTAATCAATAATAATATTATTATAATTACAAGAAGATGTCAAGGCAGCATGACTGACTGTTACAGAAGAGACATTTTGAGTATGCAATGTTTGATTATCGGAAATTTTTAGAGACGTTGAAGCATGCACGCTACCTTGAACACATTACAGTCATTCACACATCTTCCTTATGTACACAAGGCTAATCTGACCAAGATTTCCATGATGATATGATGATGCAGTTGAATTCCAGGGGGGGGGCGCATGGCCCTGGAATTTACCAAGACTGCATCAATCGTCAATGACACTTTCACTAATCTTCCCTCACCAGAGATAGCCGCTGGCATGCTAGCTGAAAAGTTGCCTGCAACGATCCTGCCTCTAGGGTAAGGATGGCTCTGTGACCATGTTGCAACTCTGCTGATGAATTGTGATATTAGGTGCACATAAACATCTAGATCATCAAAGCAAAGAGAATCTGCAGCTCATTCCAAGCACAGGAAGTCGCAATTCAGAGCAGGGTTGGTGGCCCTGAAATTGCAATTGGACTCTGATGTTAAAAGGAAAGTCGTAAAATAGTGTTTGTTTTGTATAATCATTTTCATAAATGCTCTGTTTCTCTGATACTAACTAACCAATTTATAATTTTGGATCTGTCTTATAGATTAAAATTATTGCATGATTATATACATCTTTGTTGGCAATATGGCCAACAAGAAAAAAGTCATAAAGATGGTTCGGATTTTGTTTGGTATGTTATGTTATAAATTAATCATTTTCCCAAATTTTCTGCTTCTCTTTAATTTTTATCTGACCAACTGAATTTGATATTTTAGTAAATGGGGGTAGGGTTGTTGGTGAGTAGGCATGCCACTGACAAGACAGGGGACGCCTTTGAGATATACCAGTCAAACTCATAGAAAGGGATCTTTTGTCCAGACTTAGGGTCACATGGATGTTAAGCACAGAAAATGTACGCTATCAATGTATATTTTTTTCAACAAAATAAACTTTTCATAAAAATTACAGCAACCCGGGACTCAAACTCTGAATCCAGGAAAAATTCAAAACAGCAATCCAGATTGCAACCTTCTGAGTTGCTGAATTTTCAACTCAGTCTTAACACCAACTTTATTCTAGTGAGTGAGGGGTATAACACAAAGCAATCATCACACAAATGCTGATATTCATCAGCAAACAATGCCCATATGGTGACAGCCAGCCTGGTCTGAGAGGAAGATAAGGGAATGTTTTGTCCAAAGCCTTCCAACTTGTTCAAGATACTTTCACCCGTGGGAAAAAATTCCATGGTGCTGGATTGATGCTTTGCACGGAGTTTGCTTGCTGGTGATAGGAAATTTCAATTAAATCTGACACCTGTGATCAACATCAGATTTATCATTCATAAGGAACCATAATTGACAATCAGGAAAAATAATTTATTTTGTGATCCCAGAGATCTGGGTAGACATGCATTATTAAAAATTTCATTTTTGCATGGCCTTGGTATTGTTACTACTTGGGTGATGCAATTGTTTGTTATCTCAATGATGATATCAAATGTATTGAATAATAATCATGACCATCATGAATATTTGTTGGATGGAGGCATTCACATACAAGGAAATGATTAAATAGCTAAGTCATGTTTGTTTTGTTAAAGATGTATGATTAATTATATTTAAAATATACAATAAAAAAATTGCAAGACTGCACCACTATGTCAATCAAACTATCAAGCCATCATGTTTGTGCATGATTTAAAATTCTTTTGTGCTCCCATCTTTCTTTGCTTATATACAATCTATTGGTTCTCTTTTTACTTGAATGATGTCAAATTGGGTAATGGGGTATATCAATAAATACCAGAATCTGATTATTCTTTAAAAAAATAATCAAGGTATTAGCATACCGATAAGTTAATAATATTCTTAGTATTTTTATCATATTGTCTAAAAGCCTATTAGTAAATACTGAAAGTGCCAATACTTATCAGATATTCTTTTATATTCAATTCTTTTTTTTAGTTAATTATTGCTTAATTTAATAAACCGATGATAACTCTTTTATATTGTAATTAAATTATTTCTAAAGCTTTTTGTGCTAAAACAGTATCATAATCTTGAGTAGCAGTTAGGGTTTTCTATTCAAATAAGGTTTATTTGAATAAAACAAATAATTCGAGTAATAATAATTCAAATAAAAGGAATAAAAGGAATAAGCATACAGTTAGAACTCGTTAAGACGGTGCTTTGATAAACCAAATATACACGATAAAACGATGTTGTTTTATTATCTGCCTATCAAATTACCTCAATAAGCTGATTTTATTAAGGTTTTTAGATCGAAGTTTTTTTTGAAAATATTGACTTTGGTTTAACGAGTTCTGACTGTATCATGAATAGAAACAAACCATGCATTAATACCAAAATCAAAAAACAACAATAAACAAACAAACAAATAGCTTTTATTGCGAAATAATTAATTTTGTTCCTTTATTGAATCAATCACACAAGCAGTGGTCAATTTAAACAGCATTGTTTTTAAAGAAAATAATATTATTAAATGTATAAAGTTTAATGATTTTTAATGTTGCAAATTTTTTTGATGTCAATCTCAAAATCAATCATGT